GAGAGTCCGGTAGCACGGCTGAATGCTGGAGGCGGGTCTCCTGCAGGCCGACTAAAAGCACACCGGCCTCCAGGAACTGCTTCTTGATGACTTCACGCTTGGCAACGACACGCATGCCAACGGACTCGCAGGAAGCAGGTTGAGGCTGACCAGAGCGGGGGTCAAGCAAAGTCAAGATATTCGCAGTGACCAGCCGGATGTGATGGGACACAGGGCCCCGGCCAGGTCGGCCTTGGCAGAGGCCAAGGCTGGGGCCTGTGGTTGGGAGAAGGTCTTGCCGCTGCAACCGGAAAGCCTCAGACTCGAAACTGAAGAGGGTGGGCATATCCACAGTACCCGTCGGAGGCAACCAGGCCCACGCCTTGAGGGGATGGGCAAACAGGCGACCCGGCCAGACAGGAAGCAGGTCGCCCGAACATTGCAGCTGGCATCGTCGAGTACGCTTGGCGGCCTCATCACATAGCTCATTTGCAACGTGGCCCGAATGGGCTTTGACGTGGGCGTGTGAAAGTGGAAACCGCTCGGCCGCAATTTGTCGCAGCATCGTAGTGAAAACTGAGAGGGGGGACGAAGAGCTCACACCGGGGGCAGCAGGGGCCCGTGCAGAACCGAATGCGCCCCAACCAGCTGCTTGGCAGTCGTAGAAGCAGGTCACCGGAAGTTGGAGCGAGCCGGCGAATTGGATGAGCCAAGCAAAGGCCCAACCAAGGGCGAGTTGCTCGCACGAAAGGGCGAGTCGTCCGGCTCACCCAGAAACCAAGGATCGCCGTCCCGGGCGGCAATGTCTGAAGCCAGCCCTAAGAGATATTCCTGATCTGCAACTAACCAGACGGAAAAGGCCCATGCACCGGGTCGAAGGTCGCTGCCAACACCGCCCGAGGCGGAGCCATCCGTGTAAACGTGCAAAGCAACAGGCTCGGCAGTGGATGTCCTGTGATGCCAAAGGGGGATGCTGCGAAAAAGAGCACGTTTTACCTCGGGCACACAGGGGTCAGACACAAGCCCCCGGAGGTCATTGTCCAGCCAGTCACAAAGAGCATCCGGCTTGCAGGGCGGCAAAGGCGCAGGGACGATTGCATGCAAAGAAAGGCAATCGCCCTGGAAAGGAGTAAGGGGTATGGAACTGGCAAGACTGATAGTGCAACTGTCGCCTGGGCCAGCACTTGGCAGGACGTTCGAAGAGTGGGGCGCAATGTCACAGCCCCGTTGGAGGGAAGGGGTAGAGGGCCGACTTGCAAAGTGCTCACACAGTGATTCGACAAGAATACGTGTCTCAAACATAAAGTGAGCGACACTGGCAGGACAGGCCTCGAGCAAGGTCGGGCCATCACATCCCCACTCCGAGTCGGGATCTGGAAAGAGGGCGCCTGTATCGTCCAGGGCCGGGGCAGCACAACGGGCTCGGCAGGGAGTGGGGACAGGGCGACCGATTGAAGGGGTCGCGGGTGGGGCAGCAGGCACGACCCCAAGATGTATGCCAGAACCAACAAATACTGAGCCAAGAGGGTCACAGGCAGGGCCTGCGTCAACACACTTAGCAAGGAGGAGGGCGGCACCAAGAAGAAAGCAGGCCGAGAGGCCCTGCCACGGACTACAAGTCCAGCCCCTAAGAAACCCAGGCACGGGCCAAGGCCTAAACCACTAACCCAGGAGGGCTGTTGGGGTCGCAAGGGTTTGGAAGGGCAGATCTGGCAAGCCGGGAGGTCAGAGGTGTCCCCAGCTGGCCCAGAAGGATGGGCGTACGCAAAAAGAACCCAGTTCCACATATCTCGACCGGCAGCCGGTACAGACGCGGTAAGGAGCAGCACAGCAAGCGCAAGAAAAGGGCCGCGGCCACCAGCGCGAGCAGCTCCGCCCCAGCGTCGTGCGCGAGGCGCGGGGAAGGTGTTGGAGTTCCCGGCCTCCTGCAGTTGCCGGCTCCCCTTCCAGAGAAGAAGAAGAGGAGTCAAGTGAGTCATCCCGAGGGAGAGCAGCCTCCGAAGGGGAAGCAGCCGAAGCGGCACTGCTATCTGAGACACCACGGGGGATGGTCTCATAAAAGGCTTCAATGACCTGGCCTGGGGCAAGCACGACATAGCGACGGCCCTCAAACGGAGGGCCGAGCACCGGCAAGAAGCCAGGAGGGGCGAACTCCATCAGGGAGTCAAGGAGAAGGCCTGCGTCACACCGTTGGTTGCTCACATGGAGACAGGTCCACCCCTGACCCAAAGGCCGGGCATCAAGCAATGCCCAGTAAGAAAGAGTCCCGGGCTCCGTGGGTGGAAGCACATCAGCGGCAAGCACAGACCGACAGGTGAAGCCAGCATAGGTGACATCTCTGACGGGAGGCGTCGCCGGGCGAAGTGAAAGACTCGTCACCGGGCAGCCGACGAAGCCAGCTATATCATCCCGATATCGCACTGCGCGGGCCGGGTCTGGAAAGAAAGCCCGGTTAGCGCCAGCAGATACCAAAAGGTAGCACACCTCGGCGGGACAAAAAAGCGTAGGTCGAGCTTGCCACCCCTGCGGGGAGGCCAAAAGCATGGGAAGGGTGCCATGGTTAGGAACATCCGTACCACGCGCAACCAGAGCGACAAGGCTCCCTTGGTGCAAAGCAACCTCCGCTCCATCTTGGAGGGGGACATTCGTGCCAGCTATGAATATGTCAACCTCAGCTCCCAAAGGGACGAGGGCAATCCGAAGCACAGTGTAACGGTCAACAGCTGGGGGAGCAACCGCGGCAAAGATACGGCCGTCAATGCCGGTGAGGTCAAACAAGACCACGAGCTCGAAAGGGTGCCAATGGGGCAAGGCAACTAAGGCCCCCCATCCGGTGGCGGCCTGTGGGTCGACCGGTACCAAGTACGGAAAGCGGCTGGCTGGAGTAACCGCCCGCGTCCGGGAGATCAGCGCGAGTGCCTCTGCAAGGGACGGGGGGTGCTGAAAGGTAACAGTACCCAAAGGCTCTCCGATTGATTTTTTTCGAGCGAGGATGGTGTTTTCAAGCGCCGATCGAAAAACAAAAAAATTCAAGCGTTCGATTGATAAAATCAATCGAGGATCCACATAGTACACGAAGTATAAATTCAATCGAGGAATCGAGCGGGGACCTTCATAAATTCAATCGAGGAATCGAGCGAAGAATCGAGCGTAGGATGTTAAAAATCAATCGTAGACATCGCAAAATTTCGTATTGTCCTGTCTAACAAAACTGATATATATATATATATATATATATATATATATATATATTATGTATGTATGTGTATATACATATGCCTATATATATATATATATGTATACATATACATATACATATACATATATATATATACATATATACATATATATATATATATACACATACATACATACATACATACATACATACATACATACATACATACATACATACATACACATATATGTATATATAGCATATCGAGGCAACTGTGGATTTTATATCTAGATAGATAGATAAATAGATAAAGACATATAAAGATATATAGAGATATGTGAAGATATGTAAAGAAACATAGATCGATATAGATAGACAGATAGATGGATGCATAGATAGATAGATGTAGATTGTTTCAGTGCAGGTTTTGATTTTTGTGGTTCCGGGTTTGATGTTTATAGGGTTTAAGTTGGGGTTCAGGTTATCGGGTTATGCGGTTTCTATATATAGGGTTTATGGCCTATAGGGGTTTTGGGGTTTAGGGGTTTCGGCGCATAGGGTTTGGGCCTATATATTCACATACATACATATACATACATACATACATACATACATACATACATGTATATCATATATACATAGGGGTTAGGGCCTATAGGGGTATGGGGTTTAGGGGGCTTGGGGTTTAGGCCGGGGTTTGTGGTTCAGGGTCCGGGGTTTGGGGTTTATGGTTTAGGGCTTATAGGTTATTATATGTAGGGTTTCAAGAGTCTGGACAGATTCTTGATGCCTGGTCTGGATAGACCTTCTTTCTTAGTATAGGGTTAACGAGTCTGGACAGATTCTTGGTGCCTGGTCTGGACAGACCTTTTTTCTCTAAACCGTAGACCCAAAACCCTGATCCCTAAGCCCTAAACCTTAAACCATAAACTCTAAACCATAAACCCTAAACCGTGAGTCTGGACAGATTATTAATGCTTGGTCTGGACAGACCTTTGTTCCTTAAACCCAAAACCCTGATCCCTAAGCCCTAAACCTTAAACCATAAACTCTAAACCATAAACCGTAAACCGTGAGTGTGGGCAGATTCTTAATGGTCTGGACAGACCTAAACCTTAAACCATAAACCCTAAACAATAAGCCCTAAAACCTTAAACCGTGAGTCTGGACAGATTCTGGATGCCTGGCCTGGTCTGGATAGACCTTCTAGGGTTTATACGGCTCAAGATTTCTGGATCCTGGATGGTCTGGCCAGACCTTTTTATTTACCAGGTTGTTTTGTGTGCTACTTTTTCCTGTCTGTCCAGACATTGATGGTCTTGGCAAACCTTTTTTATTTACTAGGTTGCTTTGTGTGCTACTTTTCCTGTCTGTCCAGACATTGATTCAGCCATGAAATTATATGCTAAACACAAGATGCACCATGCACGACATGTCTGTCCAGACATTGATTCAGCCCTGTCGACTTCATCCTAAAACACAACATGCACCATGCATGACTTGTCTGTCCAGACATTGATTCAATCTTATTGAGCACGTTTTTTTTCTCCTCACTCCTCATCTTCATCCAGATTCAGCCATCCTCGCAGCAGGAGCTCGTAAGCTAAGGCGAATTTTCCACAAATCTTCAGTGGAATCTGGTAGCTCGGCGTTCCTCTATCACATGAAGCAGCGATTTTCTTGCACACCGACATGAAACTCTCAGGGCCATAGGTCCAAGCAAGTCTGGGTGCCATCCATTTACACTGAACATGAAAATGTGCCATCAAGTGGAACTTCTGGGTGACACTGTACCTCTTCTTTCCTCTGTTGAAAGCATCTCTGCTCAAGAAAGTGTAGTGCAGGAGCAATCTGTCAATCGCCTTCTCCATGCTTCTGTGCCTGGTATCCAATATAACAACAACAAAAGTCTGCCGTTTATGTTAACCTTTATGCGGTTTATTTCAAGGTTCAGGACTTGGTATATGGGAAAACCACAAAGCTCAAAGTTCAATTCATTTCACATGCATGCAAGCTACTCCTTTCTGTCAAAGCGATACTTCTGGCAGTCACACAGCTCGTAAATCTCGTCCATGGCCTTCACTGCTTCAAGACGATGCTTTCCTGCCACTGTATCCTTGTACAAGTCTGCCAACCCCACAGCCACACTCGAGAACTCTCGTATTCGTCGCCCTTTCACATGGCTCAAGCACGGGTACCCAGTCTGACTTTGAATGTTCCCTTTGCTCAACTTCGGGATTCTGGCAGCAGCTGGGGTCGACTGACTCTCGTACAGCTCCTGGATTCTTGAGTTCAAAGCTCCAATGGATGCAGCGAAGTTCCCAGGTAGGTGGTCCTCCAAGATGTCGTTGATCAAGTTTCCATACAAATGCGAACTGACTCCAAGGTCTAGCATGTGCAACACATCAAGTTTCGGGGACCAAAAATTGATCCCTGGAACTTTAAACAAAGGGTGATCATTTTCTCTTGGTTCTCTGGGTTGCTTTCTCCACTCAGCACTTGCTCTGAAGTCATTGAACGGGGCGACAGCATCTGCATCTTTGAAAAGGTTGTCACACTTGCAGTAAGGACACAAATTATTGCTGTTCGCAGTAGGCCATCCGAATTCCTGCGAGAAGAACTCCAAGTCTCCTACCAAAGCCATGACCACAGCTTTGTGTCGCGAGGCCAACAGTGTCAAACTTTCACAGATTTTGTCCCACAAAGCTGGCCACGATCCAGCATTTGCTGATTTCGGCAAACAGCCGATCAGCAATTCCGAGGTCTTAATCGACCTCTTGGTTATCATGCATCGCATGCTTATAATCAAGAGCGAATCTGTCTCGCTGAAAGAGGCGTGATCGCCGTGGAGGATCAACGGAACCGGTAGCGATTCCATCACATTCACGTCTCTCCAGAACTGTCTGCTTCTCCACAGCTGTTCATTTTCTCGAAAGTTTTGGCATTGCCAAAATTCTCGGATCTCATTCTTTGTTGCCTTATATTTCTGAAAAAGCCAATAGCAGCGAATCAAAGTTAAACTCTATCCTTAACCACTGAGAAAACCCTGCCAAAAAAAACCTGCAAAAAACACAAAACTCAAAGCTCAAAGTACTCGCCAAGTTGCAGTGAACATCTCCAGCACATCGTTCTTCTCCAGCACATCGAACCACTCGTGGGGAAGAAGCAAAGGCACCTGCTTCGACTCCACCACGGCACCACCAGATTTCTTGTCTCTCAAGGACACCGGGGTGCTGATCAAGGTACTTTCTGGCGCTCTGCACACATTCAGCATCTTCATCAAGTCTCTGTGGCAGTTCTGAGCACTAGTGCCTTGTCCTCCCAGCATCTGCAAACTCGCCAGGTCTGGGCTGGGTTCTTTGCAGCTCCGAACTGCTGCACTCGCCATTTTTTTTTTTGAGCAGCTGAAAGTCGTCCAAAAGCGAACTCTTCCAGTAACAAGAGTCTCAGAGGCGACGGGGCCGGTTCAAGAAGGTTAGCCTTCCTCTTCTTCCCCATGGCCTCTCTCACTTCTCACCTCTTTGGGTGAATCTACATCTTCGAAAACATGCTCGAGCAGCTGCATCAAATATCATCGGATTCCATTCTGCTTGTCCAGGCACTAATGCTTCGAAGTGCAGCAAATTCTGCCTGTCCAGGCATTAATGCTCGGAAGTGCCTGTCCAGGCATTAATGCCTAGTGCAATATATTCTGCCTGTTCAGGCATTAGTGCTCGGAAGTGCCTGTCCGGGCATTAATTCCTGGAAGTGCAGTATATATTCTGCCTGTCCAGGCATTAATGCTCGGAAGTGCACTTCCAGGCATTAATTCCTGGAAGTGCAGTATATATTCTGCCTGTCCAGGCATTAATGCTCGGAAGTGCCTGTCCAGGCATTAATGCCTATAGTGCAGTATATATTCTGCCTGTCCAGGCATTAATGCTCGGAAGTGACTGTCCAGGCATTAATTCCTGGAAGTGCAGTATATATTTTGCCTGTCCAGGCATTAATGCTCGGAAGTGCACTTCCAGGCATTAATTCCTGGAAGTGCAGTATATATTCTGCCTGTCCAGGCATTAATGCTCGGAAGTGCACTTCCAGGCATTAATGCCTGGAAGTGCAGTATATGTCCTGCCTGTCCAGGCATTAATGCTCGGAAGTGCCTGTCCAGGCATTAGTGCTTAGGAACTGCAATATGCCGACCGACATTCTGCCTGTCCAGGCATTACATACTCAAGTGTATTTCCCTCTCCAGCATCTGCCTACCACGACGAATATCAAAAGCAATAAACATGGCAAGTGAACGTGCATGAACAAACTTGCTTCAAGCTTTTTCACGGCTCGGCCCTGATTCTGCACTCGTCTCGGTCTTCTTGGAAGCGAGACTTCACCTCCAAGTCTTAAGGCTTCGGTCTAGGACTGATCGAGTTTCAGTCTGCCTCAGCCGCTTGGTCACAAAAACCTATGTTCAAATCGATTGATCTCAAAATCGAAAGGGCTCAGCTCTCTGCATCACTGCTCTGGCGCTTGAGCTTCTTGTCCTTGGTCTGGGTCTCCTTGCAGACTGCCAAGTTCTTCTTCAGGTTCTTCGAAGCCTTCAACGACTTGAGGGCCATCAGGAGGCTCTTTTTCACAGCATCCTTACTGGCGAGGTTCTCAATGCCCGACCCCACCTGTTTCAAGGTCTTCGACAGATCCTCCAGGTTCTGCTGGACGTCCTTCTTCTCGTTCTTCCTGAGCTTCGACTCCAGGAGCAGCATCTCAAAGAAGGTCTCTTCCTTCTGCAGCTCGGACTTGAAGAGGGTCAACTTCTTGTTGAACTCACTCTTGTTGTCTGTCTCCTCAATCTGCGACAACTTCTCCCAATCCATGCTCTTCGCCTTCGACTTCGACGATGAGGAAGTCCTCTTCGTTTTCTTCTTCTTCGTGATCGTCACCTTCTTCGCGTGGCTGGACTCGCTGTCTTCCTCGTCGCTGGAGCTCTGGTCTTGGTCATCATTCATCTTCGTAATGACAGACTTCAAGTCGGGGTCGATCTTCATCTCCTTCACCTGCTCCATGTCCTGCAGCTCCTCGAAAGTGAGCTTGTCCAAGGCGAGAGCCCTGTTCTTGCCGACCTTCTTGTCGGGGCCCTGCACTGAGCAGCTCTTCTTTTTCTCAAAGCCTTCGGATTCCTTGTCGTGCACGTTGGCGAACTCCAAAAAGTTCGAGTCTGTCTTCGATCTTCTCCATTTCATGGTTCCCGCCTTCAAGCGGGCCAATGCCTCCGTCTTGCCGTAGCGATTCTGCATGGTTTTCCAGGGTTCCCAAGTCACCTGAACCTGGTGCGAGCTCATCTTCGTCAGTTGCAAGCATGCTTTCTGGTAGTACTTCCCGCACTTCCCTTCATCAAGAAGCCAGCTGGTCAACATGTCTTGCTTTCTCTTGTTTCCACCGGCACCGCTTGTCTGGTCTCGGTAGGATGCATCACATCCTTCCTTTTGCCGTCCTTTCTCAAAGAGTTTCCAGACCATCTCGAGGGCAACATCTTAAAGGCGTTGAAGACCTCCTTGCCCGACCAGCCTTTCACCTCCAACAACTCGGAGTGCGTCCTGATGTTCGTCAAGCTCAGCGGGAACTTCTCCTTCGTCTTCTCCGGCTCGCTGACCTCAGGGTCGTTCTCTTTCTCGTGCTCCTCCTCCGGCTCTTCCTCGTCCTCCACGTGCTCTTCCTCGTGCCCTGCCTTCGACTCCTTGGTCTTGTCGTTCTTCTTCTCCTTGGGCTCCTTCTTGGACTGCTTGTCGTTCTTCTGCTCCTTGGACTGCTCCTTCTTGGGCTTCTTGTCGTTCTTCTCCTCCTTGGACGGCTCCTTCTTGGACTGCTTGTTGTTCTTCGTGGGCGGCTTCTCGTCCTTCGTGGTGTCCTCGGGCTTCGTCTTCTCCTCGTCCTTCTTGGCCGCCTTCTTCTTCTCAACAGGAAGAAGCAACGAGGGCTTCTTCAGGATCGGCTTTAGAACCTTCCCGACCGCCTTCACAGCTGCAGGCTTTTTCATGGCTCGATCTCTCAAGCTATGTTCCTAGCTGTCGATCTCTTGAGACAAAACTCTGGTATGAAAAGGACTATCCTTCCTGTCTGTTCTGTTTCCTTGTCTGTCCAGACACTATTCAATCTCTTTAAAATTTCCTTGTCTGTCCAGACACTAATCAATCTCTTTAAAATTTCCTTGTCTGTCCAGACACTAATCAATCTCTTTAAAATTTCCTTGTCTGTCCAGACACTAATCAATCTCTTTAAAATTTCCTTGTCTGTCCAGACACACTCAATCTCTATACCGTGTCTGTTCAGACATGGAATGTTATTCTATTCGATCTATAGTCTTGTTTGTCCAGGCAACATGTCTTGGCGGAGTGCATGGTTTAATGTGTTTACAGATTATATAAGTATATAGTTTTATTTGGAAGGGGGGGTCTTCGGGTTTTGGAATTAATTTAAGGTTTCAGGTCGATATATAGGCTTGGGTTTGCTCCTGTTTTGGGGCTTCGATCTCTGTGTTGACAAATTGTGGCTTAAGCATGGGTGGGGTGGGGTTGGGGCGGCGTGGGGTGGGGTAGGGTGGCAGGGTGGTGGGGGTGTGGTTGGGGGTGGGGGTAGGGTGGTGTGGTAGGGGGTGGTGGGGGGTGTGGTAGGGGTGGTTGGGTGGTTGGGGGGTGGGGTGCACATGGGCATGTGTGTGTGTGTGTATGTATTTATGCATGTGTGTGCGTGTGTGTGTGTGTGGGTGTGTGGGTGTGTGGGTGTGTGGGTGTGTGGGTGTGTGGGTGTGTGGGTGTGTGGGTGTGTGGGTGTGTGGGTGTGTGGGTGTGTGGGTGTGTGGGTGTGTGGGTGTGTGGGTGTGTGGGTGTGTGGGTGTGTGGGTGTGTGGGTGTGTGGGTGTGTGGGTGTGTGGGTGTGTGGGTGTGTGGTGGGTGTGTGGGTGTGTGGGTGTGTGGGTGTGTGGGTGTGTGGGTGTGTGGGTGTGTGGGTGTGTGGGTGTGTGGGTGTGTGGGTGTGTGGGTGTGTGGGTGTGTGGGTGTGTGGGTGTGTGGGTGTGTGGGTGTGTGGGTGTGTGGGTGTGTGGGTGTGTGGGTGTGTGGGTGTGTGGGTGTGTGGGTGTGTGGGTGTGTGGGTGTGTGGGGGTGTGGGTGTGTGTGTGTGGGTGTGTGTGGTGTGTGTGTGTGTGTGGGTGGGTGTGTGATAGTCACAGGACAGGACGACACATGAATTCATGTGGTGTTCCTTTGTTTTCACAGGACCACACATGAAGTCATGTGTTGTTCTGTTGTTTGGCACAGGATAACACATGAATTCATGTGGTGTTCTCTTGTTTTCACAGGACAACATATGAAGTCATGTGTTGTTCTGTTGTTTGGCACAGGACAACACATGAATTCATATGTGTGGTTGCTTTGCTTTTAATTAAGACACATGACTTCATATGTTGGCTTTGTTCCTTTTGCATTAGGACACATGAATTCATGAGTTTGTTGTTTCTTGTATGAATATTAACATATGAATTCATATGTGGTGCAGTTTTTTTCATGTGATAATCATGTGAATGCAAGGTTTCTTCACATGATTGACATATGAATGAAATTTCTTCACATGATGTTCATATGAATAAAATCGTGTTCATGTGAACAACATATGTGTGAAACGGTGCTTTCACATGATTGTCATGTGATTGGCTTGCTCTTCTGTGCATAGCACACATGAATTCACATGGCTTGTTCTGCTCGTTGGTTGACAATCATATGAATTCATATGGTTCGTTCTTTTGGTTCTGGCATCATCACATGAATTCATGTGGTTCTTTCTTCTTGGCACAGGATAACACATGATTTCATATGTTGGGTTTGATTTTTTCAGGGATCATCATGTGAACTCATGTGTGTTTCTGTTCCTGGCCCCTGGCTTCTTCCCTGGCTGAGTCTCTTTGTTTCTTCTCGCCTCGATCCGGGCGGTGGTGCATCTATGATACGGATACAGACACACCTGTTCTCTGGCTCCATTTCAAGTTAGCTACTCTGGCTTCTATAGAGTTTACTCTGGCTAAACCCACATGCATGCATATAGCCCTGGGCCAGATCACGGCGGTCAAGGATCATTTGCGGGTGACACGAACACTCCTGTTCTCTGGCCTCATATCTTCTCTCGGCATCTACTCAGGTTTCTTCACACTCTAGCTTTCAAAGCCCACATGCATACTCGAGGCCAGATCAGGCAGGCGAAAACATCTGGGTTTGGAGCAGGTGCCTGTCCAGGCATTGATCTGGACTCTACACTATAGACTCTAGACTCTATCTAGACTCTCAGCTACACGTAGCCCTAAACCTATTGGTAAGAGAAATTGTCCCCATGCTGCATCTGCTCCAAATCCAGATTGTAGACCCTGCGAGCTCCAACATAAAGCGAGCTCACAGCATCGATGCCTCGAAAACTCTCACAGCTTCGCCTCATGCATCCATTCACATGGGCCCGCAATTCCGAGGATCTCGGCACAAAACTGAAAAACTGACACGATCCACAAACCTTAAAATACTTTGTCCCAAGCTTCTCCCAAAAATCATCTGCGAGATCCCCTTTATATCTCATATGCGTGGGCAAAACTCGGTGTCCGTCCGGCTCGGGCTCCTCGGCAGTCTCAGTTTGCTCCCTTGGGCTTGGCCTCCCATGGCAAAAAATTGAACTGCACTGTCTGTCCAGACATTGAACTAGCTTATAATTAATATAGGCTAGACATTATCATGACCTTATTGCACCCGTCCTGGCCCTTTCCTCCCTTCTCTCCCTTTTCTTTGCCGCCTTTTCCAGGTTCCTGCCCAGAAAGATTATGAACTCATCAGCGTACAGACGACACCGTTCCTCGCCTGGGTCTGGTCTTTCGTGGGCTCGTTTCTCATGTCTCCTTTGCCTGGATCCTGATATGAAACTTGCATTAGCTTATATTAATTGTCTTGTCTGTCCAGACATTAATGACTATATACACTGCACTTCAGACTCGATCGCCTCCTCCTTTCCTTTGGTCTTCGACTTCCCGCCTCCCTTGCCCGGGTCCTGAAAAGAAAAGGTGCATTAACTCATATTAATCTTGTCTGTCCAGACATTATGACTATACACTGCACTTCAGACTCGATCGCCTCCTCCGTTCCTTTGGTCTTGGACTTCCCGCCTCCTTTGCCCGGGTCCTGAAATGAAAAGTTGCATTACCACATACTAATCTTGTCTGTCCAGACATTATGACTATACACTGCACTTCAGACTCGATCGCCTGTTCCGTTCCTTTGGTCTTCGACTTCCCGTCTCCCTTGCCCGGGTCCTGAAAAGAAAAGGTGCATTAGCTCATATTAATCTTGTCTGTCCAGACATTATGACTATACACTGCACTTCAGACTCGATCGCCTCCTCCGTTGGTTTGGTCTGGGGCTTCCCGCCTCCTTTGCCCGGGTCCTGAAATGAAAAGTTGCATTAGCTCATATTAATCTTGTCTGTCCAGACATTATGACTATACACTGCACTTCAGACTCGATCGCCTCCTCCGTTCCTTTGGTCTTGGACTTCCCGCCTCCTTTGCCCGGGTCCTGAAAAGAAAAGGTGCATTAGCTCATATTAATCTTGTCTGTCCAGACATTATGACTACACACTGCACTTCAGACTCGATCGCCTCCTCCGTTCCTTTGGTCTTGGACTTCCCGCCTCCTTTGCCCGGGTCCTGAAATGAAAAGTTGCATTAGCTCATATTAATCTTGTCTGTCCAGACATTATGACTATACACTGCACTTCAGACTCGATCGCCTCCTCCGTTCCTTTGGGCCCGGAAGTCTTCGTCTTCCCGTCTCCCTTGCCCGGAGCCTGCAATGAACATTTGCATTAGCTTCATTATATCTTGTCTGTCCAGACACTGCGAATATACACTGTTCACACCCGATAGCTCATATTAATCTTGTCTGTCCAGACATCAACACCATGGCTACAGCAATCCTGTGCTGCAGCTGCACTGGCTGCATCGCCGTCCTGGCAGGGTCACCAACATGCAAAAATCTGTCCACTTTGAATCACACAGGGTCCTTCTCTGGGTCAGGTCGCCATGGCGGCGGATTCAAGTTCATCGCCTGTTCAGGGGCCGAAGCATTCTCAAAAACATCACAGTCTGTCCAGACTTCAATTTGCATGGGGTCCTCGTGCACTTGCTGCTGCACATGGGCCCATCTGTTCTCTTCTGGGCTCTGGGCAGGGGCAAATGTCAATAAAAACACAGATCGAAACAAGTCTGCCATATTTCAACCACATGTCCTGCCACTGGAGCTGTTGTTGTTGTTGTCCGTAGGCCGCTTGGCTCATGACCTGTGCGGGGCGGGGCGTCAAAAAAAGTCTGTCCAGACTTTATAATATTCAATGATATATGGGTCCTGGGCCTGGCTCCCTCCTTGCTCTTGGCTCCACGTGGCCTCTGCAGGGGGTGATGCTATTTCAACACATTAAAAAGTCTGTCCAGACTTTATAATATAAGAATGATATATGGGTCCTGGGCCTGGCTCCCTCCTTGCTCTTGGCTCCAAGGGCCCTGTGCAGGGGGCGATGCTATTTCAACACATTCAAAAGTCTGTCCAGATATATGGGTCCTGGGCCTGGCTCCCTCCTTGCTGTTGGCTCCACGTGGCCTCTGCAGGGGGCGATGCTTTCAACACATTAGTCTGTCCAGACTTTATAATATTCAATGATATATTGGTCGTGGGCCTGGATCCCTCCTGGCGCTTGGCTCCACGTGGCCTCTGCAGCGGGCGATGCTATTTCAACACATTCAAAATAGTCTGTCCAGACTTTATAATGTCAATGACACGGCTCATGGGCCTGGATCCCTCCTTGCTCTTGGCTCCACGTGGCCTCTGCAGGGGGCGATGCTATATTTCAACACATTGAAAAGTCTGTCCAGACTTTATAATATTCAATGGGTCGTGGGCCTGGATCCCTCCTTGCTCTTGGCTCCACATGGCCTCTGCAGGGGGCGATGCTATTTCAACACATCAAAAAGTCTGTCCAGACTTTATAATATTCAATGATATATGGGTCGTGGGCCTGGCTCGCTCCTGGCTCTTGGCTCCACATGGCCTCTGCAGCGGGCGATGCTATTTCAACACATTAAAAATAGTCTGTCCAGACTTTAAAATTGTCAATGACACGAGTCCTGGGCCTGGTCCTCTCGAGGGGATTCTTGGCTCCACATGGCCTGTGCGTGGGGCGATGCTTTCAACACATTCACAAAAGTCCGTCCGGACTTTATTTTCCGATCCTGGTCCTGGGTCTCTTGGGTCTGGCTCTGGTCCCAGGTCCAATCCTCTGCAGGGGCCGATGCATTCGGATCCATAAACATGTCTATCCAGACATTTAAAACAAATGCAAACTCCAAACTATTCTCCTAACAAGTAACCCCGGCAATGGTCTTTGTCCTGCTTCTGCCAGTCCCACTCGTTCTGGTAGCCAGCACCCCATGCTGACCACTCCTGGCAAAATTTTTCAGCATTCATTCTCAGACAATAACACTCTGCTTCAATGGCCTCTCGACTCCAAGACCACTGACTTGCATCGTCCTGCAACAGAGGCCGAAACGAATCAAATCATGCATTTATAAGCTTGTCTGTCCAGACATTTCGAAGTCCGAAACCCAATCATACCATGCATTTATAAGCTTGTCTGTCCAGACATTTCAAAGTCCGAAACCCAAGGGCCAGCCTGCCAGTCTCGCTGGTCCACGTCCATGTTCCCTCCTCCTTTTCCTTTTCCATCTCCTGTGTAGTGGGTTTAGGGGTTTGAAATTGAGTTCTTTAGGGTTCGAGGTTTTATTGGGTTTTAGGGTTCACAGGGTTGGGTTGAGGGTTTAGGGTTTGAGGTCTGTCCCGGGTCCTTCAGACCTCTCCTGCTCATCTTTTTTCTCGAGTCCATTGACTATCTCCTCCATCATCTGCTCGTAGGTCTTGAACGGGCTCTCAACGAAAACACGTCGAAGGTAGCTTCTGTGTGCTTCCCCGCTTCCTCTTGGTACCTGGCTCTTGTCCTCCGCCTCCTCGACGACCAAGTCCATCCAGGCACTGAACGGGATGTCGTACGACTTGCGGCTCCAGATGGCTCGCATATTGTCTCGCCACAACCTCGCCATCTTGCCGCCCGTCATGTCCTCGCCCAGAAAGCAGAAACTTACTTCATGTGTCTGTCCAGACATTATACTAAACACATGCAGCCGAAATGCTTCAGCATGTCTGTCCAGACATTACTCAAGTATTTTGCCGCCCGACATGTCCTCGCCCAGGCTGTCGAAGCCTTTCCCGCCCAGACTCGCTGGCACATCTCGGCCTCTGCGGTCGTAGGCTCCAGTGCCGAGGTCGGCCATCTTTCTACTTACTCTGTTCCTGGTCCTGCCTCCATATGCTTGCATGTGTTTCCTGGCAGTCTCCTGCTACACTTGGCGCTCTGTTGTCTGCCACGATATCTTGAGCAATATGTAACACAAAAACACAGATATTCGCAAGCTCAAAAGCAGAAACTTGCTTCATGTGTCTGTCCAGACATTATACTAAACACATGCAGCCGAAATGCTTCAGCATGTCTGTCCAGACATTGCTCAAGTTTATGTCTGTCCAGACATTACACTAAACACATGCAGCCGAAATGCTTCAGCATGTCTGTCCAGACATTACTCAATTATATGTCTGTCCAGACATTACACTAAACACATGCAGCCGAAATGCTTCAGCATGTCTGTCCAGACATTATCACCAGAAAGCTCTGCAGTCATGTCTGTCCAGACATTAGTCAAGTATATGTCTGTCCAGACAATACACTAAACACATGCAGCCGAAATGCTTCAGCATGTCTGTCCAGACATTATCACCAGAAAGCTCAAGCATGTCTGTCCAGACATTACCAAACTTACAAGGCAGCAAGCTCCCCCCCAACACTTCAAACATCTGTTCTTTTTTCTACCTCAAGACTGCATTCGTTGATCACGGATCCATATGTCCATATATGCCATCGTTCATAATTCAGGACATCTGTGCCTTCATCTCCAGCACACGATCGAGAGACATTCCCATCTCCAGGTACTCTTTCAGCTTCAGGGCAGTACTCCGGTTCTTCTTGGGCGTGTACTTCGAAATCTGCAAGAGCTGCTTGCCGTTCTGGATGCGGATTGCAACTCGTCCGCAGTTGTACGGCATCAGCACGAGCTTCACCTTCGTGAGGTCGACGGTGTCTGCAGGAGCACTTGCCATTGCCTTCGTCGTCGTCGGCTTTTTCATCACTTTCTTCTTCTTCTTCTTCTTCTTCTCGTCGTCCTGCTCCTTCTTCTTCGTCTTCAGCTCAACCTTCGTCTCCTTCATCTGCTCATTCATTGTCCTCTTGCGACATGGTACAGGGACAGCTTCTGCAGCTTCCTTTCGAAGGTCGCCCTGACTTTCAGCCTCTGAGCACGACTGGGTAGCAGGAATCTCCAAGTCCATCAGGTCCACTGTTGCCAAACTGTGCACGTCGTCGTCGGACTCCGTGGTCTTGTCCTTCTTCTTGTTCTTGTCCTTGTCCTTCTTGGTGGTCTTCTCGTCGGTCTTGTCCTTCTTCTTCTTCTTCTTGTCCTTGTCCTGCTTGGTGATCTTCTCGTCGGTCTTGTCCTTGCTCTTTTTCTTGTCCTTGCCCTTGTCCTTGGTGGTCTTTTTCTTGACCTTGTCCGTCTTCTTCTTCTCCTTCTTGTCGTCCTTGGCCAGAGTCTTCTTCTTCTGCTTCTTCTTCGTCCTCTCTTCACTCTCACTGCTGGACTCCGAGCTGTCATCGTCGTCACACTCCAGCAGCAACTTTCGCAGTGCAGCCAGCTTGTCTGTCTGCCACGTGCTCAGGCTGCTGCAGCACTCTCTGAACTTCTGATCGATTCGGAGTCTTCGGGTGTGTGCTGCTACCGTCATGAGGGCATTCGCATACTTCTGGTGCAGGATTCCTTGTTCGGTGACTGGCACACTTTCTCGTAGACTGGCAAAGGTCTTCACCAAAGTCCCAAACACTGTCTTCAGGTCCTGATACTTAAAGATCAGGGCCGGCTGCACTTCCATCACCTTGGTGATCAAGGAGTTCAGGGAACACAAGGAGGCCCCAGAGATCGCCTGACTCTTGCTCATGTTCATGTACTCGTAGAAGTTCAGGCCTCCCTCCAGCTTAATCGCCTCCGACAGCACATCCTGTAGATGCACCAAGTCTGTATCTGGCACCTTTCGTCGGTGAGGACCTCCCTTACCCATGGCTCGGGAGCTGGCTCTAGGCTCGCTGCCTGGCCCTATGTTCCTAAAACTGATCTCCAAGCATCATATGCACACCAACTGTTGCAAAATCGTCTTCCATGTCTGTCCAGACATTGACAAGTCCATGCTCCACTGCAACAAGAACATTTTCTTCTCACCTTTCCTCCATGCTCTTTTGGCAGACACTCAGATTCCAAAACTGCACCTATAGCTACAGCTCGGCGACTCCCTGTATCTACATCAGTTCATGTTCTCGATCTGTTCAAGCTCCTCGTCCAAAGCCCGAATCCGGTCGTCGATGTCGTCGAGGTGTCCCAAGATCAAAGTCACAGCATCGTCTGGATTCTCTGGCTCATGGGACTCGACGATCAGGGAGTTCGCCAGGTTCGTGGCCCTCACAGCCATGTGCGAGAGAGTTTCGATCATCGCCAACACATGTGCTGGAAACTGATCCATTTTCTTCCTCTTCTTCTCGGCGTGCTCGGGCGTGCTGTCTGCAGCTTCTCGAGTCCTCTTCGGAGGTGTTTCCATGGCTCGATCGAGGTGCTAGATATCCTTGAAGAAAAACTTCGGTTCGGTATATACATCATGACTTGCACTTGCTGCCTGTCCAGGCATTCGTAATCATGACTTGCTCTTGCTGCCTGTCCAGGCATTTATAAGATTACTATTATAAAACAACATGACAATAATGTCTGTCCAGACATTACATATTATATTACACCATATATATATATATATGTATATGTATACATATATGTATATATATATATATATGCATCTATAAATATATCTGTATATATATATATACATATCTGTATACTTGTATATATATATGTGTATATATATATATATACAGATGAACGATATATGGGGAAAACAATATACACTTTGGTCACTTGAAATTCGATCGAGGAATCGAGCGAAGAATCGAGCGGTGGAGTTGTAAATTCAATCGAGGAATCGAGCGAAGTTTCATGTAAATTCAATCGAGGAATCGAGCGAACCACCCAGTTGTTCGATTGATTAGCATAGCTTAAAAAGGTTTTTCGAGCGTAGATAGAAAATACAATATTTTCGAGCGTTCGATGGATAATTATCAATCGAAGAGCCTTTGGGTAACCTTTTCCGGTGCAAAATCCGGGACAAAGACAAAAAATGTCGCCTCAAAGCTCGGAAGGCCCCGAAATAGTGCAGGGTCATCCCCAGGCAGACGGACCAAGGGTGGACTGCCGGCAGGGAGGTACGGCCAATCCTGGCCGTTCCACTCGGCAACGGCACGCAAAGGACGGAGTGGGCAATGTTGTGTGCTTCCGGTCCGAGTAGGTTCTGTGAGGAGACGAGCCTGTCGCTGGCGCAAGTGCGCCCACAGTAGAGCGAAAAGGGCAGCAAAACAGGCGCAGAGGGCCGGCAGGGGGTTCACAACTCGGTCATACCCATGCAGTGCGGGGACCAGGTGTCCCACATGGCAAGCGGGAAAGCCAGGAGCTGGAACATCAAACGTCACAAGGCAAGCAAGACTACCCGCAAAAATTAGCCTGCGGGTGTTGCGGGGAGTGCGGAGCTTGCGATTGCGGTGCAGGAGTGGTCTGGGAGACCTGCTTCTGGAACCTGCAGCAGGAGACGAAGCAGGAGAGGGGGGAGAAGAGGAATCGGAGGATTCCGAGTCCTCGTCATCACCCACAGGGTCGCTGACAGACGAAGGGCAAGATTCAGTGGCCGTAATGGGGTCCTTACAGTACTCAACCGTAAGGACTTCCCTATCCTGCACCCGAAGGAAAGTCCGGCCATCGTGGGACTCAGGGAACCCTCCGTGAACGACAACCTGAAAACCGTCAGGGAGCCCATCCCGGAACTCCGCCTCAAGCTCAAGCAAGGGGAGCATGCTAGTTTCAGCAATGCGCCAGTGCAAGCCTTTAAGGATGGGGCGGAGGTCTAGAAAGATGGTATACTGGGGCCTGCGCAGTCGACCTGGGGGCACGGGCACGGAGTGGAATTGCTCGGATGCAACCAGCAGTGCTTTGCAGTGCTGACCCAGCACTGCAACGGCGCGGTCTCCAGGAGCGCACGGCTTAAGAACGGTGCGGTGCACCTGGTAGCGGAGCCGGTCAGCAATGACATTGCGGAAGTCATCTGCGTTGCGGATGGCATGCCTGTCAATATCACAGATGCATTGGCCGCCATCATGTAACACTAGGAAGGCAAGGGGAGAAGGGCCCGGCCACGCGGGACAAGAAGGACCCCAAGTCGTAACAGACCTCACAGTGTCGCGCAGGTCATAGCGAGGGACAGGCCCCGCGCCAGCTGGCACAACCGTAATGGTATCTCCCTGCACGAAGCGCAGTGCGCTGCCCGGAGTGACGGGCTCGGCACGCACACACAGGCAGAAATCGGCATCAGCAGGGAGGTCCGCCCAGCGCAGGAAGGACAGCCAAGACATCTGCGCATCAACGACGAGGCAGAAAAGTCGATTATCCCAATCCCGGGCGTCCACAAGGACACATGTCTGATCCATGGCCCAGGCGGGAAGGGTGAGGATACAGCCAAATTCCTGTGATGGCTGCGGCTGGGCTGGAACGAGATGCTCATATAGCATTGCCATACGCTCGTGCCGAGCCCTGCTGAGCTGTTGACCGACATGAAAGAGTTCAGCAGGGCAGTTGACCTCAATCTGGATGGTTTCTGGGGCACGGCCCGGGGTAAGCAGAAGAAACCAGGCAGACACCAACCCTGGAACCTCAACCGGTGCTGCACCAGTATCCCCAACAACGGCAGAGCGTGCAAGGGAAGACGGCTCGTCACCAACGGAAGAAGCAGGCGGCAGCGCACCCTGCGTCAAAAGGCCCAAGCTGTGCAAATCTTCTGCGAGGGGAGTAGCAACCACAGGGGCCGGGGGGCTTAGGGCTCGCTTATAACCCAAAACAACAACTAGACCGTCCCTAGCGTGGATGTAGGAGCCAGAGGATCCATCAAGCACACAGGGTTCGAAGTCGGGAGGCACCCGAAGCTGGAGGCGGCGGACAAAATGCTGTAGTGGGTAGGGCCCTGGCTCGAGGTAGAGGTGAGCGAGTCCTCGACCAACCGGTCTAGCATCGAGGAAAACACATACCCCCGTAACATCGGTCCCGCTGGGATGCCAAGGTCGGGGCTCTGCAGCAACAACATTGTGTATAATGTGTCCACACACCACAGCGCCCCGAAAGGAACTACTAGCATCAGGGACACTAAAAACAATTTCAGCAGGGGGGCGCCGCAGGCGAACCGCCAGGACATCCCTCAGATGGTCATCGAGCTCAGGCCCATGGGGAACAAGCTGTTCGCCACACGAGCGCAGGGAGAGCCAATGGGTCGGTTGTGGAGCGTCAGGTGAGGCGGGATCACAAGGCAGAGAGAGCCGAACCCAGTCGCCTGGGTCTTTCAAGGCCTCCTCTATCGAAAGTGCCCACGGGTCAGACCAGTCACATGGTACGAACCGAAACACTCCACCAGGCGCAGCATCGACAAAATCACCTTGGCGCATGGGGTCACGGTCCCCGCAGGCAAACACCGCCCAGCCCGAGGTGAGGTGGAGCTCCCCAGCGTCTTCAAGGTCCTTGTAGGTGACCATGCGCCGAACTGTGACGGCATAGCACGGCCCATGGCAGGCGGACATATCAAAGACGACGGTCGTGAAAGAGGAGGCAGGAACCCAGGCCGGGACTTGCACAACCACAAAGTAAGTCCAGCTGGGCTGTGATGCAGCAGGCATCAGTGTAGACGGGCCTGGGCAACCTCCAGGCGGCGCAAGATCCCCAAGCGCCGCAAGGGCTTGTGCAGTGTCCCGAGGGAAGGGAGCAGCCAAGGCAACCCACCGATCCGGATAACCGGGGGACAACACAAGAAAGTGAAGGCACCCACTATCATTAATGTCGGACTCTGGGTCCCAAAGCCTGCCAGCCGGTTCAAAAGCAGGCGGCATGTGAGCAGAAGCAGCCGCATCCGTGGGCGGAAGCAGGTCCGGAGACATTGACGGGAGAAGGGGCACTGCAGGCATGGCGGCCCCGGGGTCGACAGGAGCCGCCCACACCACCACAGGAAAGGAGGGGAACAAAAGCGCCAGGCCGAGGAAGGCAAGACGGGTCAGCCGGGTGATAAAACCAGGGCGACGCCGTGTAGACGGACCACGGATCCGAACCCGGCCTTTGTGATCCCGCCAAGGGCTCCAGTCCAAGCAACACACGGATGAAGCTGGGCTTGTAACCGAGCCTGCAGCCAACACAGTGGCTCTGGTGACCCAAATCGGCAGAGCACGAACCAGGCGGCCAAAGAAGAAACCCCTAGGCAAGGCACTTAAGGCGGCCGCATGTGCAAGCCCAATCAAAAGGACAGCAGTCAGGCTCACAAAGAAAGGGCAGACGGCCAAAGTGATGGCATGAAGGAGCCCAGCCGTGGGACCACCAAAGCAGATGAGGAGGCCTTGTGGGAGAACAGGCAGAGGTCCCAGAGCCACCGATACCTCTTTTGGGCGCACTGTTCGGGAGAGTCCTCCGGCACATTGGTCGGAACTCTCCTGCCCACACGGAACATGGTCCCAAGCACAAGAGGCCAGCTGGCAAACACACGGTGCAAGGGCCACATGACAGGTAGGGGCACGCCACCACAGGACGGCTTCAAAGGGCCGTGCAGGGCAAAACGTGGCGGCCTGGCAGAGGGAAGAATGCCAGCAACGACACAGCAGAACCCAACCTTCTAGGGAGGGGACAGGACTAAACCGAACTAGGGGGGAATCCCAGGGAGAAGCGGCCGAAGTCCAAAAGGGAAAGTGCGGAGGCGGGGCAGCACGAAATCCAAATCCAAAGCTGCCAAGGCACAAAGAGACCCTTACGGAAGGGCCTGGGCAGATAAGGACAGGAGCCTCGCGACCAGGAAGACTGGTCCTGCTGCGATGTGTCCGAAGGACCTGGCAACAAGGACAGGGGCGAGGGCGCAGGAAGCCTGGGCCAGGAGCAGGGCAGGACTGTACAGCACAAAACCTACCGGCTGCCTCAGGCTGTACATATGATACAAGGGGCACCAGCACTGCGAAGGGACTGCTCAGTGGCAAATCGCATCCGACGGGCAGCTGGAGACGAGAGGTCACACAGGGCAAATGGCCATGGAGCCCAGGGGTCCTCATCGTCGCCGGGCCCACCAGATAGCGACAAGTCACTTTGCAATCAATTCGCAGGGCGGAGCACCGAGCAATCATGTCACAGTACCAGGTGCCTGCCGTTCCCGTCCCGACTGGTCCAGGTCCGGATCGTCGTCCAAGAAGCCGTGCCCCGAACCGGGCAGAGCACTCGAATCTGCAGCAAGCAAAGCCCCAGCCAGCCCAGGAGGCCGGACTCCAAAAGGCTGTAAGGCCTGCCGTTTCTGGGCCATGCGGGCCTGTAGCTCCTCCTGGCCAGTGGTGTCGCCACCATTGCCATCGGCACTCCCAGTGTTGGCCGGTCCCGCCGGCGCCGGTGTGGGCTCCACCAACTTCTCTGCAGAAGGGGCACCAGGAGGCCTTGTGCCATGTCGCTGTCCAGGGTGATATGGCGAGGCTCGCTGGTGAGCCGTTGTCGCCGCGCCGTAGTTGGTGTCCTCTGGCAGGGTGGGACCTGTTTCCGGCGGCTGTCCCAAAAGCGGAGCCGGGGCCGGTGCAGAAACTCGTTGGGGAGACACCGCGAAGTAAGAAGGGGCAGGGAAACCCGCACCATCCATGTAGCTGGGAGGAGGCATCCGAGTACCCTCCACACCTGCTGTCTGTCCCATCATACGGACTGCTGCCAAGGCATCCTGGTGGAACTGGGTCATAGGGGCTTCGGGAGCCGATTCTCCCATGAGCTCGTCCCAGGCCGCATCGTTTTCTTCCACCACCGGGGCCGGCAGAGCGGCCTGTCCGCCTTCGATGAGGCGACGAACCTGATCCGAGGCCTCCTGTCCCTGGGCCTGTAGCTGTGCGACCTCCTGGTCGACTTTCTGCAGGTCCGTCATGTACTGCCTTCTCTGCCGATTGAAGTCGGCCTTCATCGTCTTTTCGTAGGCAGTCCACTGAGACTTTCGCAAGTCTTTGTCCTCGGCCAGCTTCTTGATGCGCCCCTCGCACCTCTTCGAAGTAGCCAAGGCCTTGTTGACCGCCTTCATATACTCGGACACCACAGCAGTCCCAGCTGCCAGTCCCTCGGTCCCACTGGGCTGGGAAGGCCTCATCTGGTCGTATCGCAGCGGGCCGGCCTCCTTCTTTGGCGGCTTGGGATCCGGCTGTCCCCGCCACGGCCGCTGCGGCTCCTGAGAGCCACCATAGCCATGCCCATGGTCGTGACCGCGGCCGCCATGGTGTCCTCGCCATTCGTCCTTCCTGCCCATGTGACGACGATACAAAGGCCGTGAGTGATGGGCCTCGAGGAAGGCGATGTCGGAACCGCGGGGTAGCAGACCTCGAAGGCGGTGCACCCTGATCCGGTTCCTGGCACGACGACGGCGTGCTCGGAGATTTCTGTGCCACGCGGGACTCCGCCGCGCCGTGGCAACAGAAAAAGCACTGGGGTTCTAGCCGGCACTCCAAGTGCACGCTCGGGCCAAACCCTATATATGTAACATTGGTAATTATTTAGGCTTCTACGGTAAAACTTAAGCCCTTATCTCCAAACCCTAAGCCATGAAGCACCATCTTGCCCCCTCCATTCTCTGGGTGCCCGGCCCTCCTCCACCAAACTGGAACTTCATGCCGCCTCCTGGCAGCTTGATGCTGCGAGTTTAGGAGTCACGTTGCTACCAAGGATCCCTAAATTAGACCCTATAAGCCCTAAAGTTATAGTGCTATCAGGGTTTGTAGTTTGAATTTGGGCCTAGGTTCTGACGGACATCGTGATCCCGGTCACCTTCGCAAACGCAATTCGCTCGTCCGTCCTAGCAGTCGTCGTCGTAATCGTAGTACCAATAATTCTAGTAAATGTAGTTGAACATCGTACTTATTAATAGAAAAGATCTTGAACAACAACGTACCAGGCAGAGAAGCCGAAGACTCAAAAAAGCCCCCGAAACTCACAGAAGCGCCAGGCTGAGCCCCCAAACCTCAAAGGCTGCCGGCCTGGGCCACCACCGCCCTGGAAGAACTGCGAACCCCCACCGCGGCCACCTGCGGGGAAAGTCGCTGGGCCGTCGGGGCTTCAACCCGAACCGAAATCATGCTGAAACCAGAGAGCCCCTGCAGCATAAACCCTGCCCTTTTAAGCCGTGAAGCCACAATGTCCAAACACAAAAGAGAGCCGAGTAGGTTCGAAGGCTTGAAAGAGCTGATGGAGGTGTAGAGAATAGTTTTGAGTCAGGGTCTGCAGTCTGCCTATTCAGTAACACAGGAGCCCTAATTCATGACCGGAACGCTATTATACTTTCATGAAAACACTGCAGGATGGTTTAGGTTCAGCCTGCATGCCTTTAGGGCCGTTAAGGGTTGATGAGGAGCCCCCCAGACTCTGTATGGCAAGCTACTGCAAGCCCGAAACCCTCTGCATCGTGCAGCTCGATTTTTCCGTCTGCTCCGAACACGGCGGCTGCGACAGTACCGTCTTGCGCTTGTCCTGGCCAGCTTGGGGCCTGGAAATTACGGGCTTTGGCATTTCTAGGGTCGAAAGGGGCACAGTAGGGTCTCTGGCCATACCTTGCTTGTTGTAGCTCTATAACTCCATGTGGATCCCAACCATGACATGACGTTGGCAAATCCAAACACACCGAATAGCCCGAAAGTCGGCACCATCTAAGCCGATAGCTCTACATAGACCCCAGAGTGGGTTTCCGTGTTTCTGGTAGAGGCTTATGGTACATTCGGGCTTAGGTTTCGAGGTCGAGGGCTTGGCATGTTCGCCTCGTGGAAAAAGCACGAATAAGCCTGAACTCTAACCCCAAATAACCAACAACCCTAAACCCGAAACAGACCTAAACCCCAAGAAACCCGCAACAACCTCAAGCAACCGTAAACCCTGGATAAACCGAACAATAAGCCGCTGGTACTTAGGCTCGGTATGACTCGTTTCTCGATAGGGGGTTCCTTCAAAGTGTACTGTGGGTTTGCGGTCCCCTTTCTTAGGGTGGAAAAGATCCAAGAGGGACGGAAACCTCATGGCTTACCAGGACCCCCGAACGGCGCGTTAATACAATCCTTGTGGCCTTAAATAGTGAGGGCTTATTAGAGGGAATTTGGGGGGTTCTAGGTATAGAGTTTAGTTGGGGCTATAGCGTCTGCTTCCAGCTGGCACCTGGATGCCTCTCTACCAGCTTTCTGTCTCCCTGTCTCTCGCTGTCTGTGTGTCCGCTATGTGACCTTACCTTGCCAGCACCCAAAGCCCCGATCCTGTACCCTGAACTAAAAGGCCTGTAGCCTATTCTCAACATCGACCCAGCCACCCTTGCAGGCGTAGAGTGGAGTAGCCAGAGCCCACTCACAGCAACTCGGACGCATTGAGGTCGTCATGTGTCAGCAAGAACTCACCTGTGGGGAGAAGGCAAGGTTTCGGGTGCACCCCGCTGCATCCTTTTTCAGGGGCGTTTATACGGTGTACATATGTCGGTTCCACAATACAGCGGTATAGGGCCCTGAATACTTAGAATATGTGTTTTGGTGATATTATACTATGCAAAATGTAATAAGGAACCCTCAAGTCCTCAAGACAGTATAGTACTTTATTAGGTATAACTAGTCATTTATTAAGGCCCTCATATTACTAAGGCTCATGTATGACTTCGGGGCTCTATGCAGTTAGGCGCTCCCAGCTTCGGATCTAAGGGAGCCCTTCCTGTCCTGCATTACACCGACATCGCGCTGCTCAGAGTGAGGAAGGAGGGTCTTATGCGTTGATGATCGAAATCCTGGTCCCTGTAAAGGGATCTATAGGGGTACCTCTAAGGGGTTCCTTTAAGGGATCTATAGGGTTTAGGGTTTAGGGGCTGATGATACAAATCCTGCATTACCCAAAATAGGGAGTGTACCAGAACGCCCATAGTTCAGGGTCATTAAGGTACTGCAACATTATA